ACCACACCATCAGAGCAGGCATACGACCAGTCTCCTCACTCCAACTCCGGGCCGCCCGGTTACCAGTCACTACGCCAACATGTGTCCACGTGCCGGTTACTGGCCGAACCGTGAGGCCTCTGCTCCTCACCTCGTCTGGATGCACCCTCCAAATCAGACGAAATCGGCACACATCTCATACACACACACACACACAGCCCGACCCGGCGTCAAAAGACGGGTGGGTAAACGAGGTGCCCGGGGGCTCGGTCCGACCCAAGTGCCGATTGGCTGAACGCATGAGGAGGACACCGTTTGCTGGACGAGACGGAAGCTGGTTGTAGTCAAGAGGGCGCCTCAGCCTCGAGCCTCATCGCAACCGGAAGTTGGCCGGAGGAATGGATGAACAGATGAACGGATGAACGGATGAACGGATGAACGTGTGGACAAGGTGTGGCGCATGTGATGCACGTGAGATAGCCGTACATGCTTTACACGGGCACATTCATTGACCACTCACTTCTGCTCTGCTCCAGCAGCATTTCAACACATCTTCTCGGCTCCATCCTCCGTCCGTGACGACGCGACTTCACGTCGACCATCCGCCCGTGCTTCCTCCTTTCTCGTCATGCTTGGTCGCATTGTTTTTTCGCCGTAATTGTAGCGTAGCTTTGCACTTCGAAGCAGAACTTGGTCCTGTCCTACGTGTTTCAGAAGAGTGCTTAGTTTCTGGGACAAAAGGTATGATTTTGCTTCCGGACAACCCTTGTTTCTCGAAGAAGACCTTTTATCCACCAGATTGTCCCGGATACCATTGCCCCACTGTCACAGTTACTCAACTACTCTCAGAGAGTTTTACTGCGATTTCAACTTTCCTGGCTCCCCTGTTGCCGTAACTCATTGGCGCGTTAGTCGTCAAGTCGAGCTGATGACTTACTAGTCTTCGAGTCCGCAAAACTTTGGTATGAGTCCCATCAGAATCGAGCGTGACGTAGAGACCAAGTCGAGACCTCAGTTCACAGTCCGAGGGAGAAGGAAGTTTGACGATGCTAGAAATAGGTGGAGAAAGTTAGGCCATCACCTTTGCCTATTGGTGGAAACTTAACTTTCGACCTGGATGCAACAATAGGATTATACATCACCTACCCACCACTCGACTGGACCTTCTGACCTCTCCTACAAAGACCAACGTAGAACTCGCACAAAGCCACATTCACAACTCCAAAGCAATCCCTATTCCGTGGGTAGAGCGACCATTCTACAAATCTCTTCTGTCCATCCATCTGGATGAAGTGAAAAACATGAAACCGTAAATTTAAAAAGGAAGCCCGCGAAACCCCATTTATCCTCATGTTTAAGAGTAAGGTTGAGGCCATTATCAACTGTCAGCTCAAACTGGCAATTTGAGGTGATTTGGCTTTTTTTCCACAGGCAGACATTTTTAGTCGAGATGGGAACAGATGTAATTATTAGCCTTTAGACTTTGGCGTCCATATATTCATGATGAGCAGGTTTAAAGATTATTGTAAATCTTCAATAAGAGCCGTACTCATCCTAGGTCGGTTAAGATGATGTTCAGAAATGCTACGAGTCGGCGATGAGGCAAACTAGCATTTAAATGAGATGTATTCACCCTATTTCGTGTAAGGT